AAGGCATTACTCTCCGTCTGCTCGGCTCCATTCCAACGGAGCCATACCTCCTCTGCTCATTCCTAGTGGTTTGTCCCCTGGAAACCATCAAGTAGGAGGGCATTTGTCCATACCTTCCGATCCCCTTTCAGCAGGGAATTCCGTTTTTCTAGATTCCCCCAGCAGCCCCGGGCCACGGCTGCACGGCTACGCTCAGTCTTGGCCCCCTTCTGAGCATCTTCTCAGACCTGCTCTCAAGAGGGCAAATCCAGCTCCGAGCCCTGCCCAGCCTCTGCAGTCCCCTGCGTCTCCTCGGCCTGGCGTACAGCTTGGTCAATGGCCAACAGGTGTGCGGGTAAGCCTCAGCCCCCTGGCCTCGCGTGTCCTTGCGGAAGGGCGGGGCTCATGGCACGACCACTGGGCTGTCCCACTGGGGAGGAGGCACTTAGGGTTCCCCTGAAGAGGGGCTGTGGGCCTGTGGACTGTGGTGCAATGATTTCCTGGCACCCCCGCCAGGGTTTCCCCCCTTCAGGTTGAACTAGAGCCAAGGGTTCGCCCACAGAGATGGAGAATCACCATAGTGAGAGAACTAGGGTCTTCACCAAGCACTTGGAGTGTGATTTTATTTCATCTACGTAACTATCCTAAGGAGGCCTTACTGTTGCTTCCATTTTACGGAGGAGGAAGCTGTTTAGCTCCAACATGAAATCGTTCTCTGAAGTCACAGAGCTAGGTGGGGGAGCCGGGAGCCCAGGGAGCCCCAGGGCACCTCAGCTGAGGGCGGGGACCCACCACTGGCTCTGGGAGCCGAGGGGTGGCCTGTCCCGACTGCTGCAGCCCACGTCAGCGTTTCCCCCTTGACATTTGCAAAATTGGGGTTAAAGAGAGAAAGGAGGAGCCGTGAGGCCAGCCTGCCTGCAGTTGCGGGGACTCCATCGCTGCCTCCAGCAGATTCAGCTGCCCCGAGGGGAGGCCGCCAATGGCAACCTCGGGGGACACAGGCCCGGAGGATCATGCAGACCTGGCTTCAAACCCCACGGGCCTCTCCACATGCGTTATATGACCTTGGCTAGTTTCTGACGTACCCTGAACTGGTTTCCTCTCCGGAAAATGGGGTAATAATAAACTACCTACCTCATGGGGCTTTTAAATTTTATCTCTTAGAATTAAATAAGGCAAAGTATGTAAAGGATGAGGCACCTGCTCCTTGTGACCTGTGGCTGCTCCCATGTCCGCTCATTCCTGAGGACAGTGCCCTCCACTCCTTACACCGTGGCCAGGATCTCTCAGGGCGGGAAGCAGCACTTAGCAGAGATACCAGTGATTCCTCTTTTTTATTTGTAGTCCCACCCCCGCCCCCCACAGCTCTGGATCAAACCCAGGAGTGTATTGGGGTGAGGGTGGGGGAGATTTGGCAAAGAGATATGCGGGTGCATGTGGTGTGTACCCCCAAAACTCCCTCCTGCTGGAACCCCTCACTGCATACTTAAAGTGAAGTAAATAAAACATTGAAAGGAAATCAGTAATGAATCTATGAAGTCACGGCACCTACTAAGAGGATGAAAGAATTGCTGAAGAAAATGACATGAAACAGAACAGAACAAACCAAAAGGCTGACCTGCATGCACACACAGTAACATGAAGCCAAAAGACTTCAGTAACCTGAGAGATAATACGAGCAAAATTGGAGATAATACACATAATAGGTTAAAGAAAAGAAAAAGAGTCAAATTATGTAAATATTAACTCAGGAGACATTTCCTTTTTTCTAATTTTTTTATTGTAGTAAAATACACAAAATCTGCCATCTCAACCATATTTAAATGTACTGTTCAGGGATGTTAAATACATTTAGAACTCTTTTCGTCTTGTAAAACTGAAGCTCTGTACCCATTAAACAGTCACTCTTCCTTCTCACCTTCTCCAGCCCCTGGCAACCCCCATTCCACTTTCCATATTTATGAATTTGACTAAGTACCTCATTTAAGAGGAATCATACAATATTTGTCTTCACCTGGCTGACTTATTTCATTTACCATAATGTCCTCAAAGTTCATCCACGTTGTAGCCTGGATCAGAATGTCCTTCCTTTTATTTTATTTTTTAAAGATTTTATTTTTAAGTAATCTCTACACCCAACAGGGGGCTCGAACTCACACCGTGAGATCAGGAGTTGCACAGTCTACTGACAGAGCCAGCCAGGTGCCCCCAGGATGTCCTTCCGTTTAAAGGCTGCAGAATAATATTCCAGTGTATGTATATACCACACTTCGCTTATCCATTCTTCCCTCCATGGATGCTGGGTTGCTTCCACGTTTTAGTTACTGTGAATAAATGCTGCTATAAACCTGGATGTACAAATATCTCTGAGTCTCTGCTTTCAATGCTTTTTAAAAAAGATTTATTTATTTGAGAGCGAGCAAGGGGGAGGGGCAGAGGGAGAGAGAAACTCAAGCAGTCTCCCTGCTGAGCATGGAGCCCGGGGGTGGGCTCCATCCCAAGACCCCAAGATCACAAACTTAGCTGAAATCAGGAGTCGGACAGACGGACGGACGCTCAGCTGACTGAGCCACCCAGGTGTCCCACTGCTTTCAATTCTTCGGGTGTATGCCCAAACATGGGATTGCTGGATCATATGGTACTTCTGTTTTTAATTTTTTTAGGGGCCTCCATTCTGTTTTCTATGGTAGCAGCATCAATTTGCCTTTCTACCAAAAGAGCACAAGGATTCCCTTTTCTCCAAATCCTCTCCAACACTTGCTGTTTTCTGTTTTTTTGATAGTAGCCATCCTAATGAATGTATATTGGTATCTCACAACAGTTTTGATTATATTTCCCTAATGATTAGTGATGTTGAGCAGGTTTTTTCATGTGTTTATTGGCTGAAATATTTACTTTTAAAGGAATAAAGTAGAATTTCTTTTAAAAGATTAGTTATTAAAACAGCACTTAACCAGGGGGAAAATAAATGAAAAATCCATTCAATGGTAGTTTAGAGTCTAAGGGCTCATCTTCCTTTAGGCACTAGGAAAAATGTTTCTTCAGGATAAAGGAAGAAGGACTGGATGTCCATTACTGTGTGCCGGCCCATAGGGGGCACCCAAGAGCAGAGGACCCTGGGTGGTTCTTTCCAAGGGACCCAAGTGTCCAAGGAAGGCTCCAGTGACCTGCCCCAGGTTCCCAACTGCTTTCCCCAGGTGTGCAGGGATTAGACAGGCTGGCCGTGGCAGAACGTTTCCCTCAAGCAGAAATGGCCCCACAGAGCACGATTAACTTCAACAGGTCATGTCCACATCCATAAAATCACCAACAGTCCATGATTCATTCATTCATTTATTCGATCAATGTGTGTACCAGCTGCCTGGTTGCCAGGCACTGAGACTTACGTTTGCAACAGAAGATGGTTGACGCAGATTTTACAACCTGAATCAATGGTTCATAACAGCGAGCAGGAATAAAGGTCAAAACCTCTCACCCCAGAGCCCCATTTTCGAGATGGAGAAGGTGGCCAGTGGCGAGCAAGCACACTTAGGAGATGTCCCTTTATTAACTGGAATATTGCTTGCGGCTCTGCGGGATTGAAAACAGGAACAAGGTGCAGCAGGAGCTTGGAGTCAAGTGGTCACCGTAGACCATTCTCAGGCCAGACAGCTGACCGAGCCTTCTCGGGGGGCAGCTGCGCTGTCTCTGTAATACTCCCAGCGCCAGTCCTCGCCGTCAGCTCAAAATGCATCTCCACAGGGGAGAGAACAACTCCCCCCTCTATTAAGGGAGAGGAAGCCTTAACTAAGCATCATCTATGGGTCTGGGATTGTGCTAAGTGCTTTATATGTGGCAGAATAACAGTTTTAGCTATTAATCTGTGCTTTTCTTCTAGTGCCCCGGGCAGAAGGACCTCACAGGGGAACAGCTGTGTGGGGCTCAGCCATGGCGGGGTTGGCAGATGTCAAATAATCCAGGAAAATGGAGAACTCAGTGGTAAGTGGTGTAGACAGGGTGAGACCCAGGTTTCGTTCTTCTCCCACCACGTGTTTGTGTGTCTGTGTGTGTGTTGTGGGGATAGCCCTGAAAACAGATGAGGCTAAATTCCTTCCTCCCCTGCTAGAGGGAGAGCTCAGAGTCATAATTAATGTTACCACGGTAGTGAAGGCACCAGAACTCTCCTGTGCTTCGGCAGGAGTGGGAATGACACAGCTACTCTGGAAGACAGTTAGCCGTTTCTTAATAGCACCCGCTTACAGATCTTACCATGCTTCCCAGCAGTCCCACCCCTAGGCACCTACCCCAAAGAAATAAGAACATAATATCCAGTCTTTCTCTTTTGGTCCGAGGCGCTTTGGGCACCGCGGGCTTCCGTGCAGACGTGGCCAAGTCCAAGAATCACACCACGCACAACCAGTCATGAAGACGGCACAGAAACGGCATCAAGAGACCCCAGTCACAAAGATATGACTCTTATCAGGGGTAGAACCCAAGTTCCTGGGTAATGTGCGTGCTGCCAGGGAGCACAAGAAGAAGGGCCTGAAGAAGATGCGGGCCAACAAGGCCAAGGCCATGAGTGCACGTGCCGAGGCTGCCAAGGCCCTCGTCCAGCCCAAGGAGGTCAAGCCCAAGATCCCAAAGAGCGGCAGCCGCAAGCTCAGTCGACTTGCCTGCATCGCTCACCCCAAGCTGGGGAAACATGCTTGTGCAGCATTGCCAGGGGTCTCGGGCTCTGCCGGCCAGAGTCCAAGGCCAAAACGCAAACCAAGGCCCAGGCCGCAGGTCCTGCTGTGGCTCAGGCTCCCACAGGTGCCCAGGCGCCCACGCAGGCTCCAGCATAGAGGCTTCTGCCTCCCAGCGTGAGGACGGGAGGACCGGCGTGACCCCTGGGCTTCTGTCTGCGCGGGGCTGCTGTCCTCCTGGGCTATGGGTACCAAGAAACCCGCAGCAGGATCTGTCCAAAAAAAAAAAAAAAGAGAGAGAGAGCACGTATATCCACCAAGACTTGTTCATGAATGTTCACGGAGGCTTTGTGCACAATGGCCCCCAACCGGACCACAGGCAGCCAGCAGGAGAGTGAAGCAAAGAGCAGTGAACTCCAGATACATGTGACGAATGGGCGAATCTACTGAGGGCAATTCCATTCAAACGAAATGCTAGAGACCAAATCTATAGCAACAGAAAGCCTGGAGCTGGGGTGGGGGCAGGGCCTGCGGTGAAGGGCAGGAGGGAACGTTCTGGGGTGCTGGTAATGTTCCAGAACCCAGCTGCAGCGGGGGTTCCACTGGTGTATACACGCTGCAAAACTGATCAAACTGTATCCTCAAATACTTAGATGCATTTTATTGAGCGTGCACCTTAAAACACGTAGGTTGACTTAGAGGCAATCAAGAGGTACAATTTTGTGGCACACTAGAATTTGTGCGTGTGTCAAATCCACTGCAAAGATCATTCCGTTTAGTCCTCATAACACCCTTGTAAGCTAGCCATCATCACCCTCCTGGTCAAGGAGTTAACAACCCCGGTCCGGAATTGTTCAGGAAAAGCGCCCCAGTCCTCCTCTGTGTCTCCCTCCCTCAGACGCCAGGGCCACACTCATGAGACTTCTGATACCAGATGTGGGGGGGGCCCAACAGCAACTGTGTGACACCAGCTGGGGGTCCGACGATCTCACTCAGCTCTGACGCTGTGCACCTGCAGATAGCGTCCGAGCGATCCCACAGGTTAGGGCTCAGTCCTGGAAGACTGAAGCCACCCCCCCCCCCCCCCCCCCCCGCCCCTGCTTCGGACGACAGCCGCAAAGCCAGGCAGTGGTCTGTACTTCTGACCAACTGGCTGTAGATCGGAGGTTCCCACCACCTCTCCTCAGGTTCAGTTAATTTGCAAGAGCCGCTCACAGAAAGAGGAACATTTGACTTACTAGATCACTGGTTTATCACAAAAGGATGCAACTCAGGAACAGCCGGATGGAAGAGATGCACAGGGCAAGGGCTGGGGAAAGGGCGGAGCTTCCAAGCCCCCTCCAAGCCCCCCACTCTCCCCAATCCCCATGTGTTCACCCTCCTGGAACCTCTGTGTACCCCGTCCTTTTGGGATTTTTATGGAGCTTTCACTACGTAGGCATGACCAATCATGAACTCTGGGGAGGGGATGGGGCCAACAGTTCCAAACTTCTCATCATGGCCTGCACTTCCTGGGGAGCCTCCCCCCATGCCATCCAGGAGCCCATCTAGAGTCGCCTCATTAGAACAAAAGTCACTCCTATCACCCAAGAAATGACACAGGTTCTAGAAGCTTTGTGCCAAGAAGCGCCACAGACCAATATACATATTTTTTCTATTATCTCACAGGAATCAAGGCTTGGAGAAACCCACTCGCATTGTTCTTGGCTGGGGCCTTGTGGCCACAAAGTGCATCTCTAACAAAGACCCTAGACAGCGATTAGCGGCTCGCTATGCAGGAGAACACCTGCCTGCTCTCTGGGGGACTAAGATCCTGTCCCAGGAATAAAGCAAGCATGGGCAACGAGGTTTCCAATTTGGGGGTGCAGATCTAGTTGTTTTGGGAGAAAAGGTATATATTGACTGTGGGAAAGTGAAGGTCATCTAGACCTACACCGAAGGGTGTATCATGTCCGGGCGGAAACGCACTCTTACTTCAGGGAGCGGGGTAAAGAAGCTCTGGGGAGTTTCACGAACCCCTTTGCTTCCGGCGGCTTGCGCAATCCAACGGTCTGTCCCTGAGTCTCTTAGGAAGCCTGCTGCTTTCTTGTCTCTCTGCTCCTTTTGCCCTGACCCAAGTCCGGTGAAACCCACATCCTAGGGAGCAGGGCTGTCATCCTCCCCTCATCACCAGCCCTCCATGCCCAGTGAAGCCTCCTCGTTCCTTCCGGATTCAGGGTCTCTGTCCGGGTACCAAACAGTCCTGGGTAGAAGGGGGAAGCCGAAGAGAAAAGTAAAAGCACATTCTCCTAAGACAAACCGGAGCCGCCTCTCTACTGAGAGATTTTGCTGACCTTCCCCGGGGGGCTCCCTCTGCCCGCGCGGGGCAGCCCGGGGTGCCTAGCCGGGCCCTCAAACCACGAGACCTGACGACTCCTGGGTGAATGGCTGAGCTGCCCCGGGGTGGGGGGCGGGGGTCCCGGCAGGCCTGGCACAGTCTGGGCCTGCACCGTCAGGCTCTCTCCTGTCCCAGGAGAGGCCCGGGCACAAATGCGTCCTGCCACGCGGAGGAAGCCATCTGAGGCCTTCACCGCACAAGAGAATATTGTGACAGAGCGTTAGCGTTGAAGCATTCATGATCTTTTCCTCTCTCCCTTTGCCCTTTCAGTCAGAGGGGCTGTTTGCCCCTCCCTCTGGGGAGGGTGTGAAGGGATGGAGGGCAGCAAAGAATCTTCCAGACTCTGGTTTCCAAAAGCTTAGCCCTTAAGGGGAAGGAGAGAGCTCTGGGCATAAACAGGATGTTGAGAGGGAGGGAGGAAGGGAGAGAGAGAGAGAGAGAGAGAGAGAGAGAGCTGTTCTTGGTTTTCCAGAAAAAGAGCCTTGGTCTCTGGTCTGTGCTTAATCATGGAGCCAGAGGCCAGGCCGGGCTGGGCGGCCTCTGACGTCACGGAAGTAGGACTTGCTGGGGGCCCATCGCCTCCACCTCCTGCTTTCCCGTGACCTTCAGCTGCTGTGCCTACCAGGTAGCTGTAAGCGAGTTAGTTCACTTCTCCCAGCCACAACCTTCCCACCTGTGAAATGGGGAGCCGGAGGCCACTCCCTAGTGCTGTGGTTGCAGCCCTGAGTGGGGAGGGCGGTCCAGCAAAGCCTGGTCCCCACACGCCGCCTCTCTCTGCTCACTGACTACTGGGTCCTTCTGCTGTCCCTATAACCAGCAGGACCGGGATGCTTCCTTCTGGGTCCCCCCACCCCAGCACTGCACACAGCGGCTGGCGTGCAGTGGGCCCCGAGGAAGTATTTGTTTAGTAAAATCTGTCCATTTTCATAGGAAGAGGAGGAGAGTGGAGGGTGAGAAAGAAAACCCTGGAAGACCAGGAAGACCAGGTGTAGCCTCTGCCGGGTGAGGAGTCTCCTGCCCACTGCCTGCCCTGTACCGTGGCCATGCGGATCCGGGGGCGGCCACTGTCCCTCGGCTGCGCAGCAGGTAAGGCTGCCCTTTCCCGTCACGGTCACCGGGATGGAGGCAGGGAGGCAGCCGGGCTCGGTGCGTGCCCAGGGCGCAGGTCTGACGGGAGGAAGGGCGCCTGCCCCGGAGGTTCGCAGAGCTTGAGGTTGAAGGGGAGACAAAGTGGAAAGAAAGCAGTGTTTTTCAGCTGTCAGCCTCAGCCACCTCCCCCCTACTTGCCACCCTGGCTGCCGGGCTCCCCTCACCCCTTCCCCCCAAACGCGCAGGCCCAGGCCCAGAACCTCGCTTTGCTGTGCTGCATATGCTTCCACTCATTTGTGTCTTCATGCAGGGTCCAAGCGGCCAGTATTTACCAAGTGCCTCGTAAGTCCCGGTCCAAAATGGTCCCGGACCTCCCCGAGCGTACCCTGTCGTGGGGGGAAAGACACGTGGCGGGGAGAGAACAAACAAGGTTATTAGAGAATGTGCCCCATGCAGGGCAGGAGATAAGCAGGGTGACAAGAAGGGAGAGTCCCAGGGAGTGGCATGGGGGGCATTCTGCAGATCCGGTGGCTGGGAAGGTCTCCCTGAACAAGGAGATTTGGGCTGGGCCTGGCGGGGGAGATGAAGGGCTGCAGAGAATAAAGCAGGAGAAGGAGCGGAGGTGCAGGGAGGAGCCTGGGCCAGGGCCCCTCGCGCGGAGCCTGCTGTGTGTGCGGAGCAGATGCGAGAGGCTGAGGTGGCCTCCCAGGAAAGCAGCCACCCGACTGAAGGCTGGCGGCCGTGGGAGGGAGCTGCTGTCCCGGGCGGGGGCCAGAAGGACCTGTGGGGTGGGAGGCCTATTGTGACGGCCGGGGGTACAAGCAGAGGCCAGCTGGGGCCAGGGCTGTCACTCCCAGAGAGGGGATGGTGGCTGGGCCCAGGGCGGCCGTGGGCGTGGAAAGACGTGGGAAGTTCAAGAAGGTTCCAGATCCAAGGAATGACAGGATTTGTGGTGTGATTGGATGCCAAGAACGAGAGGGAGGGACAAGCGACGACCCCTGGGCGGGAGCTGGAGATGCCCATGTGAGCTGGGAGGCCCAGGACAGAGCTAACATCGGCAGGGGGATCTATGTGTGTCAGACAGACGGTGGGACGCAGACCCAGAGCTCAGCGCTGGAGGCTGGAGTCTGGGAGGCAGCAGGACACAGTGTTTTTAGCCGGTGTTTCTCAAACTGCGAGTTGTGACCCACTGGGTCCTAAAATCAACTGTGGGCCACAGTCAGTGATTTTAAAAAATTAAACAGAATAGGATAAAAAACATCAAAGTGAATCACACATCGTAAGAAAGAGTGATTTCTTTTTTTCCCGTTCCCCTTCTCTGATGCAGGGATCCTCCAACTTTTCTCAGCCACAGGCAGCATCTTGGACTCTGGTGGGTGTGAGGAGCTTCACCCCGTGTGGCAAGTGTCCTGTCAGCCCTTTCCCTGTCCTCCTGATCGTGCCCATGTCGGCCACTGTGTATGCCCAGTTCTTCAGTCTTATTTTCCTCTCCTAGGACATCTGGCTTGAGGCTGATCCCTTAAGGCCTAGGACCCGCCCCCCCCCAACCATCCTGGCCCCTCCACCCCTCCACACAGGCAGGGTCTGGCAAGGCAAAGTCGTCCTTGACGACTTCTGGGGGGACCCACAAGGGCAGGGAGTCAGGAAGGAAGGAAGCCAACATGGAGATTTTGGGGCTTGGGGTTGGCTCCTGGGAGAGGTTTGACTTGTTCATTAGTTCATTCATTCATTCATTCATTTTCAACACATTGAGTCCTTCTGGTGTGCTGGGCACTGAGAATATAATGATGAGTAAGGCTCGTCTTTGCTCCCAAGTTGCTTGCACCTGGTGGTGGAGACAGACAAGCAAAAAGGTCCTTTCCCTGGGGGCTTTTACAAAATTCTGATGCAATCCCAGCAAATTCAGATCTTTGGTGTAGGGTGCACTGGGACATCAGTGTATTTGGAAAGCTCCCCAGGGGGTTCTAATGTGCAGCACCAGGGACGAGCCCCGCCTATCACAGGGCAATGCTGTGCTATGATCAAGGGCCCAGACCTGGGAACTCCACCCACGTCCTTACGTCCCACCTCCATCCTTTCCCACTGGGTGGCCCTGGCCAAGTCACTTACCTCTCTGTGACTAGGTTTCCTCATTTGTAAAACAGACATGGTAAGGTCTATCCTAGAGAGTTGTTGGAAGGATTCAATGAGCTCCAGGCGCTCCAGGAGGGCTTTATTAAGCACTAACAGAAGCCACTGCAGCAAATGGAAGGGGCGCCTGCCCAGGAGGGGGCGGGGGGGGGAGCCGTTTGTTGGGCAAAGGGAAAGGGGAGATGAGGGCATAGGAGAGCGAGGGACTGGGGGAGCAGGGCGTGGGGAATGGCCAGTCCTTCCAGGCCAAGAGGGCAGCCTGTGCAAAGGCCCAGAGGCAGAACCGCGTGTGAGTGGAGAGCCCACGGTACGGGGTGAAGTGCGAAAGAAGAGGCTGGGGAGCCTGCCTGTGTTCAGGCTGAAAGCTCTTTGGGGACCAGGGCTGGGGGCGGGGGCGGGGGCGGCCGGGCGGGCAGGCGCTGACGGCCTCTCGCGTCCCAGCCCGGCAGCTGATGAACAGCGGCAAGAACTTCTCAAGGGCGGAGGTGGGGCTGAGCTGGTCCGAGGCCCTGCCGTACTGCCGGCCGCACCACACGGACCTGGCCGATCTGCAGAGCATGAACAGCGTGCGCGGCATGAGCACCCTTTACTCGCTCACCAGCAGCACCCAGGCGTGGATCGGCCTCGTCTTCGACGTGCGCATCCAGGGCCTGAGCTGGTCCAGCGGCTCCACCTTCACGGCCCCGGTGTGGAGCTCGCTGCCCGTCTTCAAGGAGGGGGTCTGTGCCACCCTGTAGTCCATCTCCATTTTCCCCAGCCTGGGGGCCGCCTCGTGCACGGCGCAGAAGCCCTTCATCTGCTACTACGGTGTGTTCCCAGTACCATTCTCCAGAGCAAGTCGGGCGGGGGGGGGGGGCGGGGGGAACATTCTCGAGTCTTTCACGGGACAACTGACGAGTAGCCTGAGGGTCTATCTCCTCTCATTCCTGAGATTCCGTCATCAGAGAGACAGGTGTAAATCAGGGTAGAGAGAAAGTAAAATCTGGAATGTTCCACGAGTCTCCTCCTGCCAATTAGGGACTTGGGAGACGAGGAAAACGAAAGGGAGGAAAAAAGGAAAAGACAGGCTGGGGGTCCACTTGCATCTCTGCAGCAGTGAGAGCCGAATTCCGTCTCTTCCTGCTTCTCACCGAGCGCGGGGCTGGCTTTCCGTCCCCCGCCCGCGCGCGCGGCGGGGAGCGTGGAGCAGCCACTCTGCTCCTGGGAAGGAGTGAAGGGAGCCAACCCCTTCAGGCCTCCCCGCAGGAAATCCGGGGTAATCAACGCGCCTCCATCCTGCCCCCTGCTGGCCCCTCTCGGCCCGGCAGCCCCTGCCGCTGACCTTGTTAGGAAGGTGCTCGGATCTCGCAGCCGGGGATGCTTATAGACCTGACGGTACTTTTCTGGTCAAAAGTGCCAGTTTCTGCTTTTCTCTGTCAGCTGAAGCCCAGCCCAGCTCTTCGCCCCACTAAGCCCTCGAATAGGGGCATGGAGCACCAACCTGATGTGTCCCCAGTTCTCCACCACACTGTGCCTGTCACAGGGCCTTGAAATGTAGCCCACAGGGGCGAGGTGTGACCTTGGGATTCCCAAGCCAGCTGAGAGATGTTCAGGGGTGGTGAATGTGCAGGGGTGGGAGTCCTCTCGAAGAAAGGGCCATGCGTGCAGGCTCTCCCCTCCTCCCTCTGTGTTTTGGGCCCCAGGGAGCCAGGTCCTGACCCACCCACTTCTCTCCTTCTCCCCAAGCCCACCGCTGTGGCCTCTGTTGGGGAGGTGGGGGTGGTCTGCTCTGCCCCGACAGTCAGTTCTCAACACAGAGTGAGCTCCAAAAAATGCAAATCAGGTCACTCTGCTTGAACATATTCAGTAGGTCCCCTTAGCACTTAGAATCACATCCCTTCTGAGGCCAACCAGGCCTGCTTGACATTTCCGGCTTCCTCCTCATGCCTGGCCCTGGCCTCGCTGGCTGCTTTCTGCCCCTCCCATGCTCGCTGGCCCTTCCCACTCAGGGTCTTGGCCTTGGCTCTGCCCGTGGTATTCCTTCCTACCACTTTGCGGGGCTGGCTGCTTCTCATATTCTCTTCAAGAGCAAGGATCCTGCTTCTCTTATTTCTGCTCTTTCCCCAGGGCCTAGAATAGCGTCTGCCACAAAATAGGGGCACCCTCCCTCTCTCTGTATGTGTTTCTTGAATAAATGTAATAGGAATGGATGAGCCTTGAGCTAGGCTTCCCCTTCCCCAGTCTCAGCTCGGTGGCTCCTGTGCCTGCAGAGGATCCTGGGCAGCCCTCTCCCTCCCCATAACACGTGGTCTGTTTCTCTTTTACAGACCCTGCTGTGGGTCACCGCATCTTCACGGAGCCTGCTCTCAGTCCGACCACCTTTCCAAAGCCAGGTACACACCGAGCTCTGCCTTCCTTCTGACTCGTCCACCTGGACCTGCTGCGGGGTCACGCCACCTGTGTCCCCTCTGCTTTCCCGCCCCTTGTCTGGCTGAGGGATCCCCTGGCTCTGCTGTCCCTAGGCTGGGCCCCGTGGAGAGAATCAATCCAGTGTTACTATTCAGATTATTATTTTTTTAAAGATTTTATTTATTGATTTGAGAGAGAGAGAGCACATGCACGTGTGCATGAGCAGGGGGAGGGAGAGAGAGGGAGAAGCAGACCCCCACTGATTGTGCAGGACTCCATCCCACGACCCTGAGATCATGACCTGAGCCGAAGTCAGAGGCTTACCCAACTGAGCCACCCAGGCACACCACCCCCCACCTTTTAAAGGTTTTATTTATTTATTTGAGAGAGAGAGAGTATGCAGATTATTTATTATTATTTTATTATTCAGACAAGGAGGTGACTTGCTCAAGGTCTCCAACCGGACAGTGGTATTAATGGCCGAGGCTGCATCCCAACCACCCCACTCAGTGGTTTGGGGGTGGGGGAGAGGGAGCACCTCTTCCCAGCCCAGGCCCATCCAGCGGGTGAGGGGTACTTCCCTTCTGATTATTACTACCCTGAACTTCTTTTTTTTTACTTTCTTCACATCTGGTGTAAAGAATCCATGACAAAGGAAATATAAACTCCTCACTCCATCTGCTTTGTAGAGTTGGTTTTCCGCATGCTCTGGAATGTGGAGTTGTAGAGTGAAGATGGCCCGGCTTCCAAGGCTGAATCTCGTCTTGCCGTTTAATATGGCATGAGTTTGGGCAAGTCATCACCAACCCGAGCCCGCCTTTGGCCACCTGTAAAATGAGGTTCATAACATCGACCTCTCAGGAGTATAGTGAGGATTTAAATGGATGACAAATGCCACACCATAGCTCGGGGCTGGGCAGCAGTGGTTGCTTAATAGCGGGTAGCTTTAAAAAATCGGTTTAGATAGGGAAAATTAGGGAACCATCAGGCAAATCTTGACGGGCTTAGATGAACAGGCGTGTGTCAGAGAGTTTGGGAAGCCCGATTTGAATCTGAGGATGTGGCTCTCTGTTCTGCAAATAGAGGCATTTCCTTCAGCAGGGCTGCGGAATCCATCCCTCAGGATCCCACAGCACGTCCTTTCCCGCCTTCCAGAATCAGATGTGTGGGCTTGTGATGAGACAGGACTGGCAAGGGGCAGGGCAGGTGGGGGCCGTGGGGGGTGGCCCAAGCCAGCCTCGGGCAGAGACGGGGGGTGGACGGGTAGGGGCTATGAGAGGCTGGCATCCTGGGCTGTCTGAGCCCCACCAGAAGTCAGGGCCGCTGGGGACAGGCCCACTCTGCCTCCTGTCTGGCAGGTCTTCCCTCACCAGGCTCTTCTTTTCTCCCTGGCTCTCCTGATAGGAAGAATATCACATACTTTATTCTGCCTCAGCCTCCTGAGAGCAGCACCAGAGGCTCCTGGAAACCACAAAAGAGGCTGCCTCTAAACTAGGATTATCCTATCTTCCTCATCACGTCCCCACAAAGTTTAACCACCATTTAATTAAGTGCTAATTATTTGCACGCTCTGTGCGAACCCACTTGTTTACAAGGTTCTCATTTAAGCCTTTAAATTCATTCAGGTGATACTGTTCTCCCCCTTGCACAGATGACGAGATGGAGACTTAGACTTCACTTATGAGGCCTTTAGCCACGAGGAGAGCGCTTCACCCCTGCTTTTCCTAAATTTCTTGCTCCCCGCGGCTGCCCTGAGAACTCATCCGTTCTCCCAGGCTGGTGTTTAGTCCTGTAAAATCAGGGGTTTCATCAAACCTAACACCCAGGGCCCCGGGGGGAGGGCCTGGGCCGGACCAGAGAGCTCTGTCCCCGGGAAGCAACGAGGCCTGGGCTGTCAGAGGCCAGGACCTCGGGCCAGGGGTCTCCCTGTTCTTTGCCCGCAGCCGTGGTCCCGGTGGGCCGACAGACCTTCCTGCGACTTGCGCAGCAGGTGACGTGGCAGGCAGCCCGGAGGTAGTGCCACAAGCTCCACACGGACCTGGCCGACCTGCAGCTGGTGACCGACGAAGCGGGCGAGGAGGCCTTGAAGTCCATCACCAGCGAGACCGAGGCCTGGGTTGGCCTCTACTTCAACGCGGCCTCCGGGGCCCTGAGCTGGTCGAGCGGCCTGGGCTCCAGCATCCCGCCCTGGCTTCAGGTGCCCGAGTTGGGGACAGGACTGGGCGCGGGGCTCCACACCTACGCGCGCTTCTCCCCCAGAGTGTATTCGCTGGTCTGCTCTGCCCTGAAACCCTTCATCTGCTTCTCCGGTGCGTGGCAGCCCCCCCCCCCCCCCGCCGCCCCCGCCCCTGGGCTCGCCGTGGCTAGGACGGGACGGGACATGGGTTTACTTGGCAGCAGGAGACACTGAGGTTAGACCCAAGGAAGCGCTTCTAGACTCTGAGGGTAACAGGAGCAGGCTTTGCTTTAATTCTGAGGGAGCTTTCAAGAATGGAATGGACCCTATCGAGTCTCAGGGCATTAGCCAGCAGCAGTGGCTAGTAGGTTGGGGGCGATGCAGAGATGAAAAGCATGCACTTTGGAATCAGAGTCTACCACGTGCTAGAAATAAGGTGCGAGGCATCTCTGAGCTGCTTTTTCCTCTTTTGGAAAATATATTTAACAAAATGGTATTGGCAATGCCCACCTCCAAGGATGGCTTCAGAGCCTGAATGAGAATGTACATAAAGGAGCTAGTAGAGACGTGGGCAGAGTAAGCCCCCAGCACATAGTAGCTCTTGTCACTGCTGCAGCGTAAGTCATGGGAACCAGAGGCCCGCCTGGTTCTTCTGGATCCTGTATATCGTATGTCCTCAGCAACAGGAGGCATCCGGCTTTGCCATTTCCTGCTTGCTTGCTTTCTTCCTCCCTTCCTTCCTTCCTTCCCTCCTTCCTTCCTTCCTTTCCTTTCTTTTTTTGTTCCCTCCCTCCCTCTTTCCTTTCTAGCCTTCCTAATTTTTTGCAAAAGCTTTATTGAGATATAGTCCACATACCTTAAAAATCACCCCTATGAAGTGTCTGACTCAGTGGGTTTTAGTAGTTATAGGGGGTGCAAACATCACTGCTATCTAATTTTAGGACATTTTTATCACCCCAAAAGGAACTCCTTACCCTTGAGTGGTCACTCCCCATTCTCCCCCACCCTCAGCCCTGGCAGCCGCTAATGCACTTCCTGTCTCTGTGAATTTGCCTGTTCTTGGCTGTTTCTATTCGTGTTTTGGATTTGATGAGAACTGTGATCCTTATCTGTAAAGCGGGAAGGATGGTTCCTCCCTTGCAGGGCTCCTGTGAGGATTAAAGACCCCGCAAGCCCCCTCCCGTGATTGGCACACACAGGTGCATGCAAGTGCGGAGGTGGCTGAGATGGGGGCTGCTGAGCGCCCCCCCCAGGTGAGACAGACCTGGCGGCGCTCTGTCCCATGTCAGCCCTGCCCTCACCCCTCTCCCTCCTTCCTTGCAGACCCCACCATTGGGCACTGGGAGTCTGCTGCTCTCTCTCCAGCCTTTCACGCTCCCTCCTCAGAAGTGACTGTGGAGCCAACGCTCAGGCCAAGTACATCCCTGTTTTCTGTTCTGTGTGGGTGCTTTGGACCTGTTCTTGGCTGGGTCCTGGGGTCCCCAGGGCCTGCACGGTGGAGAGGTCGCCTGCAGGCAGCGGCACAGGGTCGGCCCCATGGGATCCTCCCCGAAGAGGATTTTCCAGCCCACCCCCCAGCCCCCTGCAGGGCCAGCTGGGTTTGGAGAAGGGGGACTCGGTCACCATCAACCTCCTTCCTTGAACTGGGCCACTAATTTGCAGCTCCAGAGCCAGGAGGCTCCAGAGAGGCTGTGTGGCTCCCCGCACAGTGATGAGGCCCAGCCTGGGAGACTGAGGGGAAGATGCTGGGCGGTGCTCCCCAGAAGTCATCAGAGGCCTTTGAGGTTTGGCATCTAGAGAGGGAAGCGCAAGAGAGGTGCCTGTTGAATCCCTTGTGATTTTGGGCTCTTCTGGGTGGAGAGAAGATGCGGGATGAGTTGTTGGGACTATGGGGGGACATGTTGGGAATGACAGTGATTGCATTCCATTCCTATAGCATTTTTAAATTCCGGAAACATCTTCACAGCTATTACCTCATTTTGCTTCCCAAGAGTTCTAAAGCTAAGTAGGGTAATTGAGGGTAAAACAGTTCTCCTGGCGTCGTTCCAGATCCGTCCATCTGACAAAGGCATTATTGACTTTGCTGAGGACACAGAGAAGTTAGGGGATTTATATTCTGGGGACACAAAGTAAAATCAGGGGCCCCTCTGAAGGAGTCCAAGGCCGCAACAGTTGGTGTTCCGTGAATAGGCACAGGCATGGTGGGGACATAGGAGGGGAGTCCCAGTCCCTGTGATGATCTGGATTTCCTGGAGGAGGTGACTCTGTACCTGTTTAGGACCACGAGGAGGAGTTAGCTCACAAAGGGGAGTGGGGGACTGATTGCAGGTGGAGTGGGGTGCTTAATGCTGAGTGGGGACACCCTGGTCCTGCAGGGGAACCCTCTGTGAGCTGCAAAGGAACGTGGCCTCACCCTGAAGGCAACAGCGCCAGGGCTGGGCCAGTGGTCAGATTTGGCTCAGAAACTGGGTGAAATCCTGTCATCTGCTTCCCATCTAAGGTCTCGCGTGGCCCCTGCCTGGCTGACCCGGGCCCGACCGGGCGGGCAGGGCCAGGCGTGGAAGAACTGGACGGCCGCGGTAGGGCCCGGAAGCCGAGGCCGGCGCCGGCTTCCCCACTCCGCGACGCACTCGACGGGCCC